CGCCCCGCCCCTTTCCCGCCCCTTTCCCGCCTTCCTCCACCCCCGGCGTGGGTGATCCTGAGGCTCGGCGCGCTTCGGGGCAGAAGCCTGGAGACGCGGTCGTCGACGTCGTCAGCGTCGGCTTCTCTACCGCTTCCCGCGGCCCCTCAATCTCTTTCCCCACCCGCGGCCCCGTGTTGGCCCTCACGCCGAGCCCCGCCGGGCGCTGCAAAGCCCCCGGTGTTGGTGAGGCCGGGTCCGGCCCCGACGCCGCACCGCCCCACGCCTAGCCCGACCGTCTCGACTCGCGACTCAGCGCTGTCTTCTTTCCCAGGAGTGGTTCCGAGGGGGTCGCAGGCGCGCAGACTCGTCCCCCGCCGGAGCGGCCCGGTCTGGCCCGGGAGCGGCCCCTGGTAGAGGTTCGAGGAGCCAGCCAAGCCGAGTGCCGTCCCGGCGCCTCGCCTGCCCACCGCCGGCCCGCTTGTTCCTGATGCTGACTGCCGTCCACTAGAGGCTGGACAGAACCCCCAAGGTGCGTACCCGCCCCTGCCTGGCCGCCCCGGGTGGAGGGGGGTGTCCCGGCTTCGTCCGCGGCCCCGAGCTAGGCACGGATTCTAAAGCCTCTCGGGAGGAGTCTCAGCTCTGATTTACCCAGACCCGAGTCAAACATTTGGTAGACGCCGGTGCTTTAATGTGTCTTTGAGTTTACTTAAATTGTTTGAAATTTAATTTTTTTCAGAGAGAAAAAAAGAAGCATAATTCAGCCATTTTTTGCAGCACACAGCTGCAGGTACCATGATTATTTTTTCCCTAACCCATTTCTCCCCTTTAACATTTCTATTTATGCCTGAAATAGAACTATGCGAAATGCGAGGCATAAAACGTGGAATCAGAAGGTCTGGTTTTCGACTGTGTGAGAAATCCTTTACCGAGCTTCGGTTTCCTGATTTATGAATTCGAGACAGTAGTATCCACATCTCTGGAGATAGTGAGGACTATATGAGATCATATATGTGAAAATCGTTTATAGCTGTAAAGTGTTATAAAAATGCAAGGCTTTTTTTTTTTTTTGTAATATTTGCCAGCGTGGTTAATGCTGTACTGGCTAACTGTTGCTGCCTCTTTATTTCTATATGATAACTATAAGCAGTAAGTACGGAATAGCACAAGCAGTGCTGTGAATCGATTAGATGCGTAATAGTCACTTTGCTTGGCCTTCCTCCTATGAAATGCTAACTGCTTAAATAACGGTATTCTTTAATTCAAATTTAACATTACTGTAGTGCTTTCCTTTTCATCTTTCTAGGCCACTTAGGCCTTTTTCTTACTCAGAATATTTGTTCAGCGTCTTACATTAGTCTTTTATGTTTTCCGAGGTTATATCACCTTTGTTAATCTGATTAAGTTTTGATTTAGGAGATGCTTTTTAGGTATATCCTAATTTTAATGGCTATCTTTCATATCTAGGGAACGGGATGGCTAAATACATCTATTAATTTGAAGGTTGTTTTTGAAGAGCTTATAAATGGCATTCATATTTCTGTAATTCTTAATAGAGCTAGAAATGTATAAAAAATTTCAACTTCTTGGCACCGAGTGTAATCATATTTATGGAATTCTCAGTTTTCATCATTGCAACACTTAGTAAGTAGGTGCTTAGGGTCACAGTTTATCAGTGGTAAAGGATGTTAATTTGCACCCTTCATTGCTGATTAACTTTGGGAGACAATAGAATAGTAAACATTTGTTGTTTGAAAATTGAGTTTATTTGCCAGATTTTGTAATACATATGCGTAACAGATCAGCATGGAATCATTCTCTACTTGGCACATCAAAAATGTAGTATGGTTTGGCTTAAATGGTACACAAAAAGCGAAAGAGAAGCATTTTTTTTTAGTATATTATTTTTAGCTAACATGGTTTTCTGATCGTTAGATGTTCTATTAAATTTGTAATCCTCTAGTCCAATACTAATTGTCTTTCAGAGCATGCTTTGGGTGTTTTGTTAAAAGGCAGAATAATGTAAGGTGGGCAACATTAAAATAGCAGAAGGGAGAGCCTACTTACTTCAATGTGGTAGCTTTTATGCATTGGACTTATTGGGTGTCCTGAAGATAAAATTTTGATATTTCAGTGCTTTATGGGGAATTTCAAGATTTGACCTTCCCTCTGCCTTCATTTGGGTTTGCTTTGGAGCTGAAATTTGGAACTAGGGCCGGCTTCCTGGCTGTACCACCTGTGCAGCCACCCAGGATCCTGTGCTCCTAGGCCTCTGCCCTTGGTTTAAAAATATGCATTTAAAACTGGCATTGCACAATATAAAGATGAATGGTAAAATTAATACTCATTTAAAGTTTTAATTTTTCTTCACTTAGAATGACATTAAACAGCAAATAAAAAAACACCATGACAAGTCGAGAGAGTCCTCAGAAGAAAGGAAAAAGCTGTATATTTTAGTACCTTTAACACTTTTTTCCTGCTTTTTGAACAAGGGACCCCACACTTACATTTTGCCCTGGGCCCCAAAAATTATGTAGCTATCCCTACTTGGAACCATCATCAGGCTTGCCCTTTCCTGTTATAAATGTTTTGAGAGTGAATAATGTTAACTGTGAGGAGAACGAATCTTGAGTTTATGGGGGGATTGAATTAATTTATTAAGCTATATTTCCTCTGAATTGGAGTGCTGTAGCTCGTGTGGGGTTTTTGAAGAGTATGAAAGACAGCGAGTCATTGATGAGGCAATGTAGTATAGTGGTTAATCGTGAGGGCCGTTGAAATCTGGCAGACCCCAACTCCACCACATAGAATAGCTGTAGGCAAGTTATTTAACCTTTGTGAGCTTTGTTTCCTTATCTTTAAATCAGGGATGATAACATGGAGGGTTGTAAGGATTACATTTATCCATTCATCCAACAAATATTTATTAAGCATTTATTATGTGCCAAGCACCATTCTAGGTGCTGGGGATAAAACAGTCAATGCAATAAAACAAAACAAAACAAAACTGAAGCACAAAGTAAGCCAAATTAGTAAAACTGATAACGTATGACACCACTGAATATACTACAGAGAAAAATAAAGCAGAGAGGGAAGATGGGGATTGTCTGGTTGTTGGGAGCGTTTTGCCATTTTAAATAGGATGTTTGGGGAAGGCCTCACTGAGAAGATGACACTTGAGTAAAGACCTGAAAGAGGCAGGTATATCTGGGATACAGTGACCCAGGCAGAGGGCACAGCAAGTGGAGAGGCCTTAAGGTGAGAGTGCTGCTAATTTTCAAGAAATGGCAGCAAAGAGGCCCAGTGTATCTGGGGCAGGGTAAACAAGGGGAAGAGTAATGGGAGATAATTATTATTGCCATGTAGGAATCATTGTAGAGGCTCTCATAGTTAATCTCTGCCATGGTTACTGCTGTATTGCTGCTGGTCCAAAAGTGGAAGACCTTTTCAGAAATAGAAAATTGGAAAATTAAAAACATTAGAATAAAGAAACTAGAAAAGGCAAGCTATTTCCTCAGATTTTGTTTTTGATGTTAGATCTAAAAGCTCATCTGGCTGAATCATTGAAGCAAATAAGAACAGATTAAAAAAAAATTGATCCTTTGTCTCTGATAAGATCCTTGAATTTAATGATTCTATGTCATGGGCTTTATAAAGATTTTCAGGACATCTGTATCATAACATCAAGACCTTCCAAGAGATTTAGTTATATAATTCTTGTGGAGAACTAAAATGCTAACGTTACAGTATTTGTGATTTCATGTTAGGATGTAATGTAGAGGATTTGGGGTTTTATTCCCCAGTAGAGGCTTTTCCTAGAATTCTCACTGGATCCAATCTCTAAAGACAAGGGAAGCTGTTTTCCATGACATCATTTTTGGACTATTTCTACTTGTAGTGAGTATTAAATTAGATAAAAGTCTTCGGATGAAAAATAACCTTGAAGCAGAGATTTTTCTTATAACATTTCTTTTATTATAGGATGACTAAATGGTAAACATACCTGAAAAGTGAAGTAACTTGGATAATAGGTGCCAACCTGGAGGCTGGAGGACCCAGAGTCTTCCTAATAGCTTAGTTAAACAGTCATTTGTAATTTAGTACAGAGTTAGAAAAATATTTTGATGTACAAGAAAGAATTTCCAGTATTATGTAAATAAATTAAAGTTAACTTATGCAGCCTTTCCTCCCATAAAGTTAGTCTGTTTTCAAATTTTTCTTTCCTTTTACATTGGTACATTGAGAGGTAGGCCACTTTGAGATTGTTGAATTTAAAATTTCTGCTTTATAGGTTACAGAAATTGTGAGAAATTTTAGAATTCAAATTAATTCAGTTTTTACCCCTAGTAAGCCGTGCATTCTCTTTTTAATATGCATGTATGGTATTTTCTGGATAGGCATCAATTTTGGTAGGGTAACAGTTTGAAGATGAAAGTAGCATGAAATAATTTTTTCCTTGAGAATAAGTATATTATATCAACCTCTGAGAATCTAGCTTTTGTACTGAATAGCTGAGGATTTTGTTTGAATTTTCAAGCAGCTGTGGAAGGAATGTGAAAACATTAAATTATTGCTTATGGCATAAACATGGACATTAATTTTGAAACATCTTCTGTTTAATTACTTAGATTTTTGCCTTCAAACCAGAATGGCAGCCTTCTAGCTAAAAAGGAAGCATTTAATTTCTCTGCCTTTAATTTCCTGTCCAATTTTACCCCCACCAGACTTCTTACTTTACTAGTCACTAGAGAGTTTGAACTGTTAAAAATTTCTGTGATATAAATAGCAGCAATAGTCTTCCAGGGTGGAGGTAGGAAGAGGTTGTTTTGTGTGTGTTGCCATTTATCTCTTAATCACATCTTCAGTGGTACTCAAGCCTTTTGATCTCAGGACCTCTTTATACTCTTAAAAATTGGCATCCCAGCGAGCTTTGGTTTATGTGGGTTGTATCTATTTATATTTACCGTATTAGAAATTAAAACAGAAATTTTAAATATTTATAATGCATTTAAAAATAATATCAATCCCATTACATGTTAACCTAAATAACTTTTTTTTAATGAAAAATAACTATTTTCCAAAACATTAAGAATCCTAGTGAGAGGAGTGGCATTGTTTTACATTTTTGCAAATCTTTTTAATGTCTAGCTTAATAAAAAAAACATTGGGCTTCTCATTGGCTTCTGCAGTTAGTCTGATGTGATATCACACATCAGAGAGCCTTTGGAGAACACTACACTTATGAGAGAATGAAAGTGAAAAAGACAATTTTTAAAAAATTATTACAAAAATAGTTTTGACCTCACAAAGCCATTTTAGAGGACTGGGACCACAGTTGTCCCTAACCACACTTTGAGAATCACTATACTTGATAATCATTCTTACGCATAGAAAACGTGAGGCTTTCTTTTTTTCTTTAGTCAGTGCCTAGCTTATAAGACACACTCTTCAGTGTTTCTTCCTAGTAGTATAAGTATGCCTTATCATTTAGTCTAATTTAGCTTGGTTACCCCTTTGAGAAAACCTACCATT